GATCTTTTCAAAATGCTGGGGCGGCGTTCCAAGAAAGGCACGAAGTTTGCGAATCTTGGCGAGGGCTCCCCCCCCCCACGCGGGCACCTGGCCAAGCGGCTAAACCTCGCCCGGCCGCATAACTGCTGAACCGGATACGTGTGTAACTTGTTTGCTTAATGGCAATCCCCTGGTCCTGGACTTCCTGAGGCGAATGATTCTGCGTACTGGGAGCCTGTCCTGATAAGAAATCCGCAAAACGATATCCCAGAACATCATAACGGGCCATGGCCGGGACATCAACAGCTCTCTCCAAACCTGCGCGCCTGTCTGCGCAAGAGGAAGATCTGAGAGCGGACCGAGCGACTTGGCGATGTTGCGCCGATGCGCGCGCGATCGTTCTAGTGCAGGCCGGAGGGTCGCTGGAAGAGCTTGAAAGGCGCTTTAATGCACAAGTGCGTGACATAGAGGTACCCACCTTCACCCTCACCATCAGTCTGGTCCTAATCCACAGACTCCTCATCATCCTACTCATCTCCAAAATACTAATCAGCATGGTCATAGTCATGACGCGCGTCATCATCATCATCATCATCATCATCATCATCATCATCATCATCATCATCATCATCATCATCATCATCACCATCACCATCATCATCATCACCATCACCATCATCATCATCAACATCATCAACATCAACATCAACATCAACATCAACATCATCATCATCATCATCATCATCATCATCATCATCATCATCAACGGCAACAGCAAGAACAAAAACACAGCACCAACATAATCATGTATTCCATCCGTAGGATAGTGCTGCTAAACATGCCATCGCGTCCAATTCGCGTATCTCCATCCACCTCATCCTCATCATCGTCGCATTCAACCATCATCGTCGTCATCATCAACATTAGCAACATCATCATCGTCACAATCAAAACCAACATCATCATCAACACCGTCATCACTATCCTCAGCCGCATCATAATCAGCGTCATTATCATCACCACCATCACCACCAGCATCATCATCAGCGTCATCGTCATCATCACCATCACCACCACCACCATCATCATCACCATCATCAGCATCATCATGGTCGGCATCATCATCCTCGTCATCATCACCATCACAATCATCACCATACGAACCGCCATCATCAACATCAACATCATCATCCTTATCCTCATCCTCATCCAAATCGTCATCTTCAACTCGCTCTCCCGTTACCATCATCCTTCACATCACCACGCGAATCACCAATACCGCTACGCTATGCACATCATCACCGTCATCGCCTTACACATCGCTATCCCCCTTACCACCAGAGTGAACATCACCCTCGTCATCGTTGTCGCAGTCGGTCATCCAGCCGACTGCGCGCCTCGGGGGGCATCTTGGAGGCGCTTGGGTCCCAAGAATGGCGGTCTGGCACGGTTCGGGATCGTCAAGACGTAACAATCAGCCTGAGCAGTGGCGCCGGAATCCCGAGAACACTGGTTTGGCAGGCTTTAGGGTCTTCAAACGGATGCCTTCCAACGAGGCGGCTCCTTCAATGGAAACGTACCGTTGCAGGGACCTACGAAGCGAGAGCTTGGAGGGATGCCTGATTCCAGTCATCGTTGAGGACTCTTGGGCTTACACAGGGGGGGGGGGGGTCGGGAGGGGGGGCGGGCGCTTGGAATCTGCTTGAAGGTTCTCTCGGGGCCCTCTTCTGCCGTTTCGGGAGGCCTGGGAGGTCGGCCCGAGAAGAGCGAACAGGCAAGCTCGTCAGGAACTGCAGTTCCCCATCGGTTGGTGGATGGCTCAGACGTCCTGCTGGACCCATCGAAGCCTCTTTGGGCCGTCTTGGAAGCCTCTTGGGGGCCCCTTGGAACTGTCTTGGGGCCTCGAGGGGGCGTCGCAAGCTGACTTGGAGCGCTCGTGGCCGTCTGACGCTTTCGGAAACCTTCAAGCTGGGCTCTTCCAGGTCCCTTGGAACGTTATGAGAGGCTCTTGGCGGCTCTTGGGCGCGTATGGGTGGCCTCTGGGGCTCCTCTTGGGGCTCTTTCGGGCAAGCTGGGGGCTCTCCAGCAACCTCAGGCGTCCGCTGGATTCAGAAGTCAGAAGCAACATCAACGTCATGTTGATGATGATAGCGATGATGATGATGATGATGATGATGATGATGATGATGATGATGATGATGATGATGATGATGATGACGATGGCAAAAATGAGAATGATGATGCTACTGATGATGCTGATGATGCTGATTGTGATGATGATGGTGGTGATGATGATGATGGTCAACATAATCATCGTTACCAACACCATTATCATCAGCATCCGCTCGCACATCAACGTCGCCATCACCATCTTCATCATCGACATCGTCCTCAACATCAGCATCACCATTGCCATGGACACCAGGGATCACATCGTCACCCGCAGCATTACCACCCTCATCACAAAGGACATCATCATCAGATGCAGCATCACTATCAACATCAGCATCATCATCATCAGCATCATAATCATCCATCTCAGTAGCAGTATCATCATCAACATCATCAACATCATCATTATCACCATAATCAGCAACATCGTCATCATCCGTACTAGCATGACGATAACCATGAACATCATCACCACTATCATCCTCAGCAACACCATCATCATTATCATCAACGACATCATCATGATTACCATCATCAACAACATCATAATCACAATCATCATCATCATCATCATCATCATCATCATCTCCATCAATGGTATAAACAACATCGACATCACAATCACCATCCCCATCGTTACTCCATCAGCATTCTCATGATCCGCAACAGCATCAGCATCATTATCACCACCATCATCATCACCAACATCAGCACCAGAAACATAACCAGAACCATCATCAGCATCCTCAGCACCAGCATCGTAATTCTCAATATCATCGCAAACATGAACATCACGATCGTCATCATGAACATCTTGGACCTATCTTGGTTGTCCCGGAACCCTCCTGGAAGCCTCCTCGGAGACTCTTGAGAGCCTTCTGGGACCGTCTGGGAGCCATCTTAAGCTGTCTTGGGCGGGGGCAGCATCATCATGCTAATGATCATCATCATAAGCATATTCATGATCATCATCATCATCATCATCATCATCATCATCATCATCATCATGAGCAACATCATCATCACCAACAACATTACCATTACCATCACTATCATATGACCAACATCATCATCATAATCGTCGTAATCCTCAGTATGATCGCAACCGTGCGCATTGAGAGCGTCGTCATGAACATCATATTTAGCATCGACGTCGTGCCGTCGACCAAATGTTCCCTGAGAGGCCTCCGGGGACATTAGGCCTGCTGCGTGTGAGGGGCTGGGACCGACGGTCGGGAGTGAAGGAGTCCAGCATCAGATAGGATGCGCGCCTGGGGGAGCATTGTCAAGTTGTGGGGGGGTTCGGAACGGTCCTTCGGGAGGCTAGTTGAAGCTACCTGCGCTTCGAGGAGTGTCGTGATGATCGTCATCACCATCACCATCACCATCACCATCACCATCACCATCACCATCACCATCATCAACATCATCATCATCATCGTCATCGTCATCGTCATCGTCAACATCATCATCATCATCATCATCATCATCATCATCATCATCATAATCGTCATCATCCATACCATGAAGTCATCACCATGATCAGCATTATCATCATCATGCCACCAGCATGATCATCATCGTCATCAACATCATTACCATGATGGGCATCGTCATCACCGTCATCATCATAAAACATCATCCACATCATCATCCTGCTCATCATGAACAACATCATCACCGTCACCATCACCATCATCGCCATCTGCATCCTCAAACCATTATTCGGAAAATCGTCATGACGACCATCAACATTATTATGGTCGCCGTGCCGTCGGCCTGATATTTCTGGAGTGGCCTCCGGGAACATCAGGTCCGCTGCCTGTGGGGGGCTCAGACAGGCCGACGGGAGTGAAGGATTTTGGCCTCCTGGGGTTCCCCCGGAAGCGTATTGGTAGTTGCTTTTGGGCGTGGTGGGGCCATCTTGGAGCCATCGGGAGCTGTCTAGGGCGCTGGAGGACGTCTGGGTGCGTCTTGGCGATCTCGAGGGCCGTCTCAAATCATCTTCGGCCGTCACGGCCCCAGTCGACCGTCTTAGGCCTCTCTGGGTTCTCTGGGGCCATCATTGGCCCATCGTGAGGCCTCACCGGCTTTGCCAGAGCGAAAAGGCGATACCTTGAAAAACAAATGTTCTTGCAAAATGTGTAAAGATTTTCAGCCCGTGTGGGAACCTCTTGAAAATATTGATGGGCCTTCTTGGGGCCGTCTTGAACTGTCTGGGACCGTCTGGAGGCTAATTAGCTGGGACCGTCTTGGCGGGCTCGAGGGCCGTCGCGAAGCTAGATTCGGCCGTCTCGAAGCAATCTTGAAGGATCTGAGGGTGCTAATCGACGGTCTTGAGCCTTTTTTGCGCTCCGCGTGGGCCATGTTTGAACCATCCTGAACCCTGAGAAGCCCCTCATAAGCGAGAAGGTGAGTTATGGGAAAACCCGACATGTTTTTGTTTGTTGGTTGATGCAAACAAAGACAGGTAATGCACGTGGGCTCTGCACTGCTGCGCGACACAATCAAGGAGAACGGCTCTCGTCGGCCAGCAATGGTAGCTCGGCAAAAAAAGGCAGCGCATACGTTGCCGCTGCCCGGCAGAGTGCAAACCCATCATTTCAGGGAGCGGGAGGCCTCGATTGAACCTCACCAGGGGCCAGCTCCCCGAATGGCTCGAAACACCCGACGGAAGAGACAAGTGGTGCTCTTCGGAGCTCGTAGCCCTTTACTCTCTACTCTCCTGGCCCTCGCCCTCCCTCGTGCCCGAGACAGGGCACGCATGCAACGTGTCAATTGTACCCTTGGGCCCCCTGGTCTGGACAGGTGCAAGACCACAGGATCGGAAACCTGTCAGACGCTGTGTCCCTGCAGAACCACTGCCAGCGCTGCACGAAGCAGATGGGCGAGTACTCGGAGTCAGGGTGCTTCCGATCACCCACGACAGGAAGAGCCCTGCGGTGCCTGCGCGTGGCGAAACAATGCGGAAGTGACGCACGAACGCTGTTTGTAATGATTTTCGTGTTGAGCGAGTTTGCAGGGAGGGAGGCCGACGTCGATGGGCACCAAGGGGCCGAGGGGCCCGGAAGGAGCTACCGTCCCGGCCGCGCCACGAGGGTGTAGACGCCGATCCCGAGCCAAGGATGGGCCCTGCCATGATCGGTGCAGGTGTGTTGGTGGCGCCCTCCTGGGGACGGGACAGCTGAAGAACGGGCGGAGCAATGAACAGTGCGTAATGCGCGGGGAGCTCAAATGAGTTGCTCTACTCACGCCGAAACTGGCTCAGAACTCTGCGCACCCCGTCTGATGGAACAAACGGGCTAATACTTCTGAGGAACCAGTGAACGGCACAAACACGAATGTTTGGAGGCCCATGCGGATCTCTTGGATGCGGGCTGGGCCCCTTTGGCGGCGCGTCCAGCGCGGCCCCTAGCGCGCTCCGCGCGCCAGGGAGGGGCCGCCGTTCAAAGTTCATGTTTATGCCATGTTTTCGTCCTAGGCGTGTGAAAGAAAGGTGCAGTCCCAACAACAAGCAGAACCAGCACCACCCTCGGACGACGGCGACAAACCCACCGACGCCGCGCAAGCGTATGAGGGGAACCGTCGAAGGGACAGAAAGCGGCATTGCCCTCGCCCCTCCCCAAGGGGAACGACAGGGCTGAAAAGCTAAGTGTCTTCCTCCTCCTCCTCCTCCTCCTCCTCCTCCCTCTCTCCTCCTCCCCGTCGTCCTTTGTATCCTCCTCCTCTTCCTCCTCCTCATTTCTTATATTCCTCTTCCCCTTCCTCCTCCTCCTCCTCCTCCTCCTTTTCCTCCTCCTTTTTCCTCCTCTTCCTGCCAGTTTGGAGACGCAACTCGGGTTTTCGTGGCCTCCCATCGCGTTGGGAGGCGCCTGCGGGTCAAAGAATGGGCCCGCGGCGGCGCCGAAACCAACCGTACGCAGCAGATTTCGCAGGCCTCCTGTGGTTCCCTATCCTACCAGGAGCCTCCACCGTCTGCATTGTCCACCCAGAAAGTGTGGAGTTTGTGCTGCGCTTGTCGTGTTGTTGTGTGATTGTTTGTGTCTGGGTTGTTCCGCGTTGTCGTCTTCTTGCGGCTTGCGAATGTATGCGTGCATGTGCATGAATGCATGTATGTAAGTACACTTGTCTGCGTGTATGCATGTACGTGTGTGCAAGCATGTGCCTGCCAATGTGTCAGTCTGACGGTGTGTCTGTTTGCCTGCCTGCCTGTCCGTATGTTTGTTTGTGTGTGTCGGTATGTGTGTATGTGTGTGCATATACGCATGCACGGATAAGGTGTATGTATGTATGTATGTATGTATGTATATATATATATATATATATATATATATATATATGTGTATGCATATGGGTGCAATTGCGGATGTTTTGTATAACAGCGCGCCGCGCGTATACGTATACGTTATGTTCGAAGGCGTGGCCCCAACAAAAAATGGGCTCACGGCGCGGGCGTGAAGGGCTGAAGGCCCCTGTTTTCATCCTGGCCCGCCGTCGCCCTGTTCGGGCTCAGGCCGCGATTGGCCACCGCCCCTCAGACCAGGCGCTGGGCCACGGGGCCACATGCGGACCCCAACTCTACCCCCCACGATGTCTGAGGGGGGGAGGGGGGTCCACTTCACTCGGGAGCCCCCGACCGAGCTCGCAGTGGTCGTCGCGGCCGTCGTCGCCCTCCCCCTTGTTTTCGTCGTCGTGCCGCAAATGGGCAGCGGAAGCGGCGCAACTGATTGTATAATTGTCGCCGCGGCTGCCCTCCAGGTCCCGGAGCGAGGCGGCGGCGGCCTTCCGCGCCGCCGTGAATCCACGCCGGGCGGGCTGCATGCTGGACGCGCGAAGCGGGAGGAAGAAGAGGACGAGGAGGAGGAGGAAGAGGGGGAGAAGGAGGAGGAGGGGGAGGAGGAGGGGGAGGAGGAGGAGGTGGAGCAGGAGCAGGAGGAAGAAGGGGAGAAGGAGGAGGAGGAGGGGGAGGAATGGGGGGAGGAGGAATGGGATGATGAGGAGGAGGAGGAGGAGGAGGAGGAGGAGGAGAAGGAGGAGGAAGGGAGGAGGAGAGGAGGAGGAGGAGGAGGACGAGGGAGGGAAAATGAGACAGAAAAGTGGCGGGGATGATGACGATGATGGCGATGAGGAGGAAAAGGAGGGGGAGGAAGAGAGGAGGAGGAGGAAGAGGAAGAGGAAGAGGATGGAGAAGAGAAAAAAGAGAACGAGGGAGAGAGGAGGGGGAGGACAAGAAACATGAGGTGCAGTAGGAAGATGAAAGGGATAGAAGGGGAGGTGGAGGACGAAGGGGAGGAAGAGGAGGGGGGGGAGGAAAAAGAAGAGGAACAAGAGGAGACCCCTGAGGATCTCGGGCGTGAGACCTCGGGGAACCCCTAGCCCCCGCTTGAGCCGAAAAGCAAGGAGGGAGAGAAAGGGGGGACACGCGGCACTGGAATCCGCTAAAACTTCTCCACGGGACTCTGCCCCAGGCCATCTCCTGGAGCCAATCCGACGGAACATCTCGGTGCATGTCCGTTTCTTACGGGTGTTGGGCCCGAAAGAGACCTCGAGCCCCAAGCCGGCGAAAAGCGAAACCAATGACCCCGGATGCAAACCAAAGGCTGGTCGGAAACAACAAATGATTACTGCAATGTCCTGAATTACAAGACGGGGAGGAGGAAAAAGAGGAGGCGGCGGCGGAGGAAGTGGAGGGGCAGGAAGGGGGGGAAAGGGAGAAAGACGAGGCGGAGGATGAGGACAACGACGACGAGGACGGAAACGATGAGGACGACGAGAATGAAGAGGACGACGACGAGGAAGAGGAAGAGGAAGAGAAGGAGGAGGATAACGAGGAGGAAGAGGAGGAGGACGAGGAGGAGGAGGGGGGAGGAGGGGAGAGGTGGAGAAGGAGCAGGAAGGGGAGGACGAGAGAGACGGTGGAGGAGGAGGAGCAACAGGACGGGGAGGGAGGAGAAGGGAGGGATCAGGAGAAAGACCAGGAGGAGGATGTGGCGGAAAAAAGGGTGACGAGCTGGAGGAGGGGAAGGTGGAGGCGCAGAGGGGGCCGAAGAGGAGGAGGAAGATGAGGAGGAGGGGTAGATAAGATGGAGGAGGAGGAGGAGGGGGAGGAGGAGGAGGAGAGAGGAGGGGGGAGAGGAGGGAAAGGAGGAGGAGGAGGAGAGGAGGAGGAGGAGGAGGAAGAAGAAAGAAGAGGAGAGGAGGATGGGAGGAGGAAGGAGGGGAGGAGGAAGGAGGAGGAGAGGAGGAGGGGAGGGGAGGAGGAGGGAGGAGGAGGGGGAGAAAGAGGGGGAAGAGGACGAGGAGGAGGAGGAAGAGGAGGGAGAAAGGGAGAGGGAGGAGGAGGGAAGGAAGGACGAAAAGGACGACGAGACGGGGATAACTAGGGGGGGCAGGATGGGCGAGGAGCAACGAACGCATACAGGCGTCGCCGACAGGCTGCTGGAAATGCGCGCGGAGGCTCCCGAAAGAGGGGCTGACGTCGACAAAACCTGACATAAGAGACAACACGGATGTGAGAAAAAAGCCTCCCGGCATCTGCCATCTAATCGCGACTTCTCCAATCTGGCCAACATGGGGCGCGAGCCGCGGATGGTCTTTCACCCCCCCCCGCTTGTAAAGGTACTAAATTTCTTCGAGCGCAGCCCTCAAGCTCGCGATTGTCCCAGTGAAACTCCCCTCCCTGCCAAGCGGGGCGCCCCCTCCTACTTCTCCCCCTCCTCCTTCCCCCCCCCCCCCTCCTCCCCATCTTCTTCCTCTCCCTCTTCCTCTTCCTCTTTCGATTCCTCTTCCTCTTCCTGCGCCTGCCCCCCCTCCTCGCCCCCCTCGCCCCCCCCCCCCCCCCCCCCCCCCCCCCCCCTAGTTCCCCTCGTTCACCTTAGCCTCATCTTCCCGCCCCCTCCCCCCCCCCCCCCCCCCCCCCCCCCCCCCCCCCCCCCCCCCCCCCCACCCCCCCCCCCCCCCCCCCCCCCCCCCCCCCCCCCCCCCGCCCCATCGCCGCCCTCCCACTTTCATTCCAGTCAGCAAAACGAAGCTGTAGTGCATGTCCGCGAGCAGCTGGCCGAGTTTGTTCCTCTGGCTCGGGCCCTTCGACTCGTCCTGGCGGATTGGGTAGCCCTGCCGATGTCTGCCTCTCTCTCTCTCTCTCTCTCTCTCTCTCTCTCTCTCTCTCTCTCTCTCTCTCTCTCCTTCCTCCTCTCTCTCTCTCTTCTCTCTCTCTCTCTCTCTCCCTCTCTCTCTCTCTCTCCTCTCTCCCTCTTTCCCTCTCTCTCTCCTCTCTCTGTCTGTCTCTCTCTCTCTCTCTCTCTCTCTCTCTCTCTCTCTCTCTCTCTCTCTCTCTCTCTCTCTCTCTCTCTCCTCTATATATATATATATCGTTCTCGCTCGGCCTTTCCGAAACCCAGGAGTAAACTGCCGCGCGTCCGTGACCGGTGTTTTTATGATGCAATCCCCAGAAGTCCTTCTTCTGTTTCTTGTCTGAGGGCGGCAATGATTCCGAATCGACGCTGGACTCAGACTCGTCCGTCTCGGCCGCTGAATCGCCCAGCGCCGCGGCCGCGCCCTGCGCCCCCCCCCCCCCCCCCCCCCCCCCTCCCCGATTGCATTGCAAGGGGGTCTACTCATCCTGCCCCGCTTCCCCCCCGCTATTCGACCCTTCATTCTGGCGCGCATTCCCCTTGCTCGCTTTGCTCGGCCCGTTCGGGATTCGATTCGATCGAGTCGGGTCGCTCGACGACGTTGCGCGCGCCCTCCCCCATCGGCACCGGCGGCGCAAAGCCGCTGGGAGTTGCTGCCGACGCCGCCGACCCAGAGCCTGGCGTTGCGTAAGCCGCGCCACTTGATGACGCTGGCAGCGCAGTGGGAGGGCCCTTGAACTGCGCCCCCAGCTCTCGCAGGTGCTTCCGCGGGCAGACAGGCGCAGGGATCCCAGAATGAGAACGCAATGGCTCGAATCGCGTTCCGCCGACCG